TGAGTGCATTACCGCCCGCGCGCACGCTCGGCCATCAGATCTATGATGCGTCTTCAGATGTTTAATTAGATTGCTGGTGTTAAACGATGTACTTTCTTTCCCTCCTCTCGACACCTTAGCTGAACATAACTCACAGTCTGCCTTGCTGTTGTCTTCATCCCTTATCTTGAAATGAGCCCAAACCACCGACATTATACTTTCCTATGCCTCAGTTCACCTCGACAAAGCACTCGCGGCGGCCAGTTTCGTTTTGCAAAATGTACGTGGTATCGGTGCGTGGTATCGGCGAATTTTTATGAGTACGAGTACGAGTATATTAGGACAGTATCGGCCCGATCCCCGATGCCAGTATCGGTATCGGGCCATCCCTAACAAAAATTAAATAAATAATTTAAACTCCTAAAAGAACAAATTGGAGTAGTTTGATGCTACTCATTAGAAGGGATGGGCATTTCGAGCAAAAATAATATTCGAAGATACTGTAGCTGGCTATTATTCGAAAATCGCACCCCTCCCCATATGCACGCACACATGCATAGGCCACAAAAGTGAGAAAAGCGGAGTGGTCTGACGTTTAAATATAACTTAAAAACGTAAATATACATTTTATATTTGTTTTATATAATATAATGTTCTTTTTTTAATTTCATCTATGTTGATTATATGAAAAAGGAACCGCATGAGATGGGTAAGATAGGATCATAAGATGCCCAATATATCAGGAGACATTTGGAGTGGGTCAGACATGATTTTGACCACTTAATTAAGTTTTGTTTTGTAGAAAGCCATTTTTTAAAGTGAATTTCGTTTTGTAAAAATTGTAACTTAATTTCAATCAATGTTTCATCAACCAATTGGCTGGATTTAATAAATAAGAAGCGAAATATAGCAGACAATATAGGATACGGAGGCGCCCGCGCGTGAACTGGAGCGCGTCTTATAAATGAACCGAAACTCAGCGTATAAATGACTTGGCTCACAGACCTGAGAACGTATAGAAAGCTTGAAATGCTTTAAAAAAAAAACATTCAAATCGATAAGAAATGGGGTAGCCTACTCTCTGCTTATGTAGTCTATCCGTATGAAGTGTGCATTTCTCTCTATAGGCGCGTTCACTACATGCGAAGATGGCGTCAACATCGCCAACTGTATCTTTGCAGCCAGAAAACACTAGTTTATTAATAAACAATTCAAATGTACCATGCTGCTTAAACATTACTTTTACCGGTTCTTTGTGGCAAGCTTTATGCATGCGCTTGATATGCGGAATATAGGCAATATTACGATAATGCTCATTATGGTTTAGTATTTTGTCCCATATATATTTAATTAAATTAATATAAATATACAATTAGACTAATGGCTTAAATGAACTAGGCTACTACTAGTCAACTAGAAAAAAACTTTAGTCGTGACTCGTGCACGGGCAGCCCAATTTATTTCACATATTTCCTAACCAGCGCGTCACTGCGGGCGTTCTGAGCGAGCGGCGCTGTGTGGACTGAGCGAGCGAAGCTACTCTTCAGAAAGCTGATCTCTCTGGAGGACAATGCTCCTCCACATGAGATTCCTTTGAAACATACATGGCAAATAGCTGTTTCTCGACACATCATAGCAATTCCACACCGACGATGACATGACTGCCAAATCATTTAAGTCCCCACGCATCATGTACCTTCTCACGTTTTGATGTAGGCCTAATCAAATTGTGATCGGTTTGTGAGATCGGCCAAGTTTAGTGAGTCCCGATCGAGTCATAAAATGTGAATATCGGCCGATACCGATCTCTGGCCGATCGATCGGAGCATCCCTACTAAAAACAGCTTGTTCTTGGAGTGTGGGTATGCATTGTGTCTTCCTTGAAGGCATTACTGGACTACGGTTGTGTAACTGCTGAGATGGGAAGTATGCAAATAATTGCAGAGCAGCGTTCATACCTTTAAAGCACGGTAAGAGAAGCGTCCTATCTGTGGATGTGGAAAGATGAGCACAGCCCAGCCTGCTGAGGTGCCTCTCTCTCTCTTTTTTGTCTCTTTTCACGTGGCTCTTTTGTCTGTGTGAAATGCCCGCCATACCAGTAGACTGTGACCTGATTTCTAAAGGCTGCAGTTTCTTTGAGAACAGAGCGATCTGAACCCTCAAATGAACAGCAAAGCCCAGTTCACCAAAAAAAAAAAAAAAAAAACCTATACATACTACACACAAACACACTACTATATAAAGTTTAGGGTCAGTAAGATTATGTAATGTTTCTGAAAGATGTCCATTACCAAGCCTGCATTTATTTGATGAATATTATTACAATTTTACTTTATTTGATGAATTTTATTACAATTTTACAATAGTGGTTTTCTAGTTAAGTATAATTTAAAACATAATTAATTCTTGTAATGCAAAGCTGAATTTTCAGCAGCCACTACTCCAGTCGTCAGTGTCACATGATCTTCAGGAACATTATTCTAATATGCTGATTTGGTGCTCAAGAAACATTTCTCATTATTGTCAATGCTGAAAACAGTTTTACTGCTTAAAGGAGTGGTTGATTATGATTTCACTTTTCTAACTTTAGTTAGTGTGTAGTGTAATGTTGCTGTTTGAGCATAAACAACATCTGCAAAGTTACGATGCTCAAAGTTCAAAGCAAAGGGAGATATTTTATTTTAAAGAAATTGACTACAACAAACGGCTGGCAGGGACTACAAGACATTCCTCCCGGGTTAGTGACATCACACTAACCCTAAATTTTACATAAACCCCTCCGATTTATAGACTATCATGACAGAATATGCTAATCAATGACTAGAAGATAACTACAAGCTACATAAATTCATCAACTAACCATTCAGAAATGTGCTGTTGCATTCAACATGTTGTCACTTCTTGAGTCTCTCCATCATTGTCTGACTCTGTTTTGAACATAAAAGGCTAAAAGTTTTTGAAATTTTCAGTGCATGTCTGTGTGAGGTAAAAGGACACAAGCTGTTGAAGCTCCGCCCTCTGTGCCGGGAGCAGCAGCTCACTTGCATTTAAAGGGACAGACTCAAAAACGGTGCGTTTTTGCTCACCCTCAAAAAGTGACAATTTTAACATGCTATATAAACATATCTGTGGGGTATTTTGAGCTAAAACTTCACATACACACTCTGGGGACATCAAATACTTATTTTACATCTTGTGAAAATGGCATTATTTCACCCCTTGAATATTTTTGTGACAACTGTTTTTTATTTTTATTTTTATTCTTTAAAGTCCCACTCCGATCATATTTTGAGCTATTTTTAAACATTCCCAGTGGTCTTTAAATTATGATTATGCCATTTTTAGCCAAAATCACAAAACCTGTGCCGTTTTCTGGGACTTCGCTTCAGCAGAGCGGCAGTAGCTCATTAGCAATTCGCCTCTGCGTTGTGGGCGGAGCCGTTGGCACGGAGACGACCCTCCCCCTGCCCGTTGCTGAGAGCTCTGTCTCTCCCGCTAGCTTACATCCCCAATACCGGTGGGGCAACAGTATTATATACACGTTAATTATTATTATCCGAAGTTAATCAAAGTTATCACCGATCACCGATCATTATTTCACTCCAAGACGTCGCGTGTGGAGACGCCCAGTGGAGTTACTACGTCACAACTCCAGTCGATTTTAGCCAGCATTTTAGCGTCTGCTACTGATTCACAGCCATTTGAATGTAGAAATACTCAGAAATACAACTTTGAGCTGATTTTTCTCAAGATTTGTCCTCTAACATCAGAAAAATGCCACAAGAACATGTTAACACCTAGAAAAACATTATTTTCATCGGAGTGGGTCTTTAAGAAAAACATTTAATTTCACTTTCAATTTAATACGCCCTTCCTAAATAGAAGTATTCAACTCTAATAAATAAACTTACTGACCCCAAACTTTTGAAAGGTAATGTATGTATCCCTGACAATCAATATCTACATTTTGTGATAGCGACTTAAAACAAGTCCAGCTACAACTTTTTTAGTGAATGACATCACACAACTAATGTTAGCAAATAGCTAAATTGTTTTAACAAAACACTATTTTAAAATGAACCACCCACTTTTCACCAATCAATCAATCAATGCCCAGTTGATAAAGTCATGTCCTATATTTTTTCTTGTTGAATATCTGGTTTCACATTTGGAAATGTGTCAAATTATGGGGTTGCAAATAGCAAATAATGCTGACTTTAAACACAGAAACCATGCATTATTCACAAGTTTGGACCGATTTTGCAATTGACAAAAAGGCAAACTAATACTAATTTTATTTAACCAAGCTACATGTATCCAATACCAATAATCTCAAAATGTCCAAATATATCGGCCCTATCATTAGTACCAACCATTTTGGAAAGCAGTCACTACAATTGGACACAAATTCTCTGATGTTAAAAGGACTGGCCAAAGTATCTAACACACATTGTAACAGTTGAGCTACAGGATGCTGATTTGTCTTTAAGGGTGCATTGGGATTTACAGGAAGAGTCAGAGTCTCTCCACAGGAAAGAACTGTCACTCTCTTCCCTGCCATCAAAACCAGCAGCCTTTCCTGTAGAAAGTTATCTCCAGACCACAGCGGTTCTATCACACACACATGTGTGCTGGTGACAACATAATAACTGCACACGGGGCCACGTTTGGGAACGTGTCTCTGTGTGCTTCAAAACACAGCATACAAATCACAGATTACATGAACCTATTTACCCAGTATTTCCGCTTGACCACAGGACCACAGAAATTGTGGGCTGAATCACTCTGAAAGTATTTACTTAATTCATACTCTACATTCTGCAGGATTTTTAACCCCTAACTGACCGATTCCCAATTGGGGTCAGAAGAACTTGAAACCAATATAACTATGCAAGGCGTCCTTAAGACTGATTAGTCAACCAGATCTTCAGGCAAGACGAGTCACCAGACAATGCTTCAAATGAAGCAGGAAAATCCACCTTGAATAAAGGGATGTGGGAGGGAAGTGAGAGAGCTCGTACCTTGTCTCTGGATAAAGAGTCGCAGCAGGGGGTGTGCGGTGGACACGGCCTTGCAGAAGTTCTCATCGTTATTGATGGGGAGGAGGTCTCCGTGAACATCGGCGTATCCGATCATCACCTCCATGTTTGCAATCCGGTGGATTGTCATGATGAGTTTGTAGAATTCCTCAAATTTGCCGGGTTTTAGTCGATCCACTGAAAACCTGCGGAACTCTGCTCCATACTGCAAAAGAAATGCAGAAGTCAGCATGCTGTCACAAAACATCACTACATTGATATTTATAGGGCTTTTGAGGGATCTTTCCAGTCGTTTGTGATTAGGGGATATGGATTACTGGTCACCCGATACACTGGCCAATGTTTGGCATTTTCTAATAATCAATAAGTTACATACTTATTGATAAGCCGATACATGTTAGAGGCAGACATTTATTTGGACAGTAGTAGGACTTTTATTTTGACAGTAGCCTATTGTTCTTCATCAGTGTACGGTCTATCAACATAAAAGTAAACAGTAAAGAAGAAAGTAAACGATATATGAAAAAGTATTAAAGCATTTGCATTTGTATTAGTAGTTATAGAAAGGAGAAAAAAGGCTATAATACTTTCTCACTCTGCAAATATGCATTCATATCATTCAAAAGTCTTTGAATATCTTATAATTATTGTATAACATGCACCTCGCAAACTTTTGCAAATCCTGCTGTTAGATTCTCTAAAGTGTGCATTTGTAGCCTGCATAAAAAAAATGTGAAAAAAGTCTATCGATCGACCGAACGCACTCTCGTAGTTTATGCTTTGGCGAATTGGTTGCCAATTCGTATTAATTCATACGATCTCATTCTGAAATTTTATGCAATCTGCTCTGCTTACATCCCCCTTGGTAGTTGGTGCCTTACGCAGAATGCGTACTCTGCGTACATGGACTATCATCGGTATTGGTCATTTGCCACTTGCCAGAATTGACAAGTTAAAGGTCATTAGATTTAGCTTTCTTCCCACTTTAAATCAGACACAGAGACAAAGCATTGCAGTAATATTGCGTATTTGAATCAATTAAGAGTGAGAGACAGATTGTGCGTGTGTAAATTGTATCTCTCTACTAATAGTGAAGCTGTGAGTTTAATTACTTTAAAAAAAAGAGATGATTCCACCTCGTTGCTGAGATATATAAAGCATCTTTTCAGTATCAAAGCGATTTTATGCTCCAGAGTAAGTGTGCTGTGTGATCTCTGTGTGCGAGTAACTGTCTGTATATGTGTCTGTGCTTCAATGAAAGCAGCCCACCTTCCAGCCAAACAAAGATTTAAAATAAAGGTTTACAATTGTCACATCCTCCAACACCATGAGAACCACAGTTGGAATTTTCAAGGTTAAATCACACTCACCAACCTCATTTTATTCAATTTCAAACTAAAGGTAGACCTAATGTTTGTTTTGACACTACCTAACTAAAACTGAAGACACTTATTTCTGTTACATACTTACTGGCCTTCGAATTAAATCTATTTAGCCTTCAGACATGTCAGAAATCACAAAACACTGACATTGAGAGATAAAGAGTGTTTTGGCCAGGCCTCTAACAGACTGCTCGGCTGTCTTTGCAGCTCTGCTGTTTGTAATGAGGAAATGGAGTCAAACAGGGCCAGAGACACAATAGAGTGAAGCACAATGCTGGATGATGAGTAAGCAGAGCGAACTTCCACAACACACACTAGCGGATGTCACCCCTGCACAGGTGAACAAACCCAACCAATCTTCTCAGAACACACACTCAGGGCCGTGCACACAATGACAGGACACGTCATTACTTTTCCTCTGCTCTGCTTTTTAAGTGTTTTGCTATGCCATTAACAAACAATTAATGTACTATGATTTGGAAAGTAATAATCCTACTCTACAGGACAGATATTATGCAAATTGGGATCACTCTGTTAGTATTATTAACTAAAACTATTACAAAAACATTTATTTATTGAAATAAAGATGAAATAAAACAAATAGTAGGCTATAAGATGGAAAATCTTAAAGGTCCCGTTCTTCGCGATTCCATTTTTCAAACTTGAATTAGTGTGTAATGTTGCTGTTAGAGCATAAATAATACCTGTAAAATTATAAAGCTCAATGTTCAATGCCTAGCGAGATATTTTATTTAACAGAAGTCCCCTTTCAAAGCATACAGCGAACGGCCGGTTTGGACTACATCCCTTTACTTCCTTTTTTAATGACGTAACTAGAACAGTTTTTTGACTAATCTCCACCCACAGGAATACACAAAAAAAGGGGGCGTGGTCTTGTTGCGCTCCCACGGAGAAGAAGCACTTCAGCTGCGCATGCATCTCCAATTTATGGTAAGAAGGGTGACCTTTCCGGGCAACGTGCGATAAGCTGCTGTCGAATCACAACACAGGAACCGCTGGCACAATCAGAACTCGTTACGTATTTCTGAAGGAGGGACTTCATAGAACAAGGAAGTCATCAGGCTGTTTTTTGGACAGTGAAAACAGCGGTATACAGATAAGTAAATTGTGTGAAAAAAACAGTGTTTTTTTACACCCGAAACATGAACACATGTTATATTGCACACTGTAAATACAATCAAAGCTTCAAAAAAACATGAAGAACGGGACCTTTAAATTAAATAAAAATTTGAAATAATTTAAGCTGAAGTATTACAATTTTCTAAAAACTAAAACTGAAAATTACAACTAAAAATGTTGAAATATTTTTAAACAAATAAAAACTACATAAAACAAAAACATAAATTTACTAAAAAATGTAATTAAAATAAAAACTAAAAATCTAAAATATTAATAAACTATTATAGTATATCAATAATACTAAAATAGATCTGTTAGACCACATCCCAATCAGTGCTCTTTATCTCCACACAAACTTTTAAACAACACCATCACATAATGGAAGCATTTAAAGTCACCTGGTTTGAAGTGCCATGACCAAGATCAAATATGTTCAAGCATCCCTTGTTGTGTGGGATTCAACCCTACAAACCTTTGGTTACTAGCTCTGAACATCAGGCTATGGCCGGTAAGTATAGCTTTGCCTATATTCGGAAGAGGCAATTGTCTGTCCCCTTCACCAAAGGGGTCAAGCTGAGTTTAGGCCTATGTCTCAAATCACGTGACTGTCACGCAGATGCGAGTCTTGATTCAATGCGTGGGTCGTCCCATCCAGCCTGAAAAACACAGGCCTCACTTTGTCTTTCACAGCAGCGGTTGAGTCTGCAGAATCCCAGCATTCACTCGTGGACTGTGCTGCTCTATGTAATTATGCCCCAAGAACCAGAGTCCTACATTAACCGCTGGCAGCCTGTCATTAGCACATGAAATATAAATGTGAAGCAGCAGATATACACTCGGAGGGTCTCTGGGGTGGCAGGTGTGTGATCAAGTTGACTGCATGTGACAATGTGCCCAGTTGCAGACACATATGAATTACGAATACATCCATCCCACCGCCTACAGTAAGAGTGAGAATTTAACCCATTTATCAGCAAGACATCAGAGCTGCTGCTGCACTGACTAAATAAATAAAGTACATGTTTCATTGATACAGTCTTTCTGTTTCTAATGTGGAGAACTAATTGTTTTAAATTGACATTAAATGGTGACATACTTTTGTTGTTGTTCTTTCCCTGAGAGTCACTGATAATGTTAGTCATGGTTTCTTCAGCAAACAGTTGTAATTTAGCCTTATTGAATACGCTGCTCAAATTGTTAAAGTCAGGGTAAAATGATCAGGTTAGGGTTATTTAAACATAGATAACCCCACTGGGAGCCTGAAACATTCGGACAATGTTTTATTTTGCTAACACAACACTAATGGCTTGGCCACTTCTTACTGTTATTGGGAGTTATATGACAGGGTTGTAGGCCAAGGACAACATTATTTCTTTGTTTCTTACCGTTTACTTGAATAATAACATGAAAAACTTGCATAATGTTGCATAATATTTCTTTTATTGAGAAATAATTAATTAAAGGTAAAAAAAAAAGAATTTATCCCCAGTTCCACAGACAAGGCTTAATTAAGTCTAGTAGTCCCAGACTAAAATTAATGTTTGAGCGGTTTTAAGTTCTGAAAGCAACTTGCACCGACATATCTTGAAATATAATCAGTGCCATTGTTTTGTCTCAAGATGCATACCAGTAATGTTTTTTCGAAGGCACATTTATAAAAGCTAGCTATTTAAATATCCTAATTGAACTAAGGTCTAATCCTGGCTTAATCTAAACCCTGTCTGTGAAACCAGACCTTCATTTAATAACATATATATTTAATAACATATATTTGTTTTTGCTGTGGTATCAAGATGAAATGTTATTAATACCAAACACTACATTCTGGTATCATAAAAACCCAATAAATTACTAATTAGATTTTTCTTGATATTTCCCCTTGCTTAAATATAATAAATTGTAGCATAAATTGTGATGTTCTTTTTTGATAATGTTAAAATGGTTTAATTTTTAGTAATTTGATTATTAATTTCGTTGCAAATGAGCCACGTGCTCTTCACTATTTTGTGTTATGTGATTCATTTTGACACGTCATGTAGTACCCTTGTCACGTCTGGTGTACAAATTGCTTGTCACTGGAATCTTATCGCATCTGGTTAGGACACAGTGTAAATCTGAATCTATCTTAATTTTGTTGTTATCCATGTGCAAACTCAAGCCTAAAAACAATAACATGACCTCAGATAATTGAGTATACGGGCCTACACAGAGCATAAAATACCCAATTTCCAACATCGAAATCCTGAGTAATAGGAGAACAGCGAAAACACTTTATCAGACCTCAAACCCTGACAGGTTCAGGCAAGTCAAAACACGGCACTACAGCCAGATACACAGCTCTTTGTGTTAAATACTTGTGTGACATTCAACAGTACCCAAAACCCAATCGTATCATATGTCAGAATAGCGTTCCAAAGAGTACATTTCTAATTGAGATCCAGCTTGGTCAGTGGAAAACGGAATTGAAAGAGCAGTTGGAGGAGTGTTTCTGGAAGATGTACAAAGCCCTAGACACGTTAGATATAAAGTGGTGGGAGGGGGGGAAAAACAGCTCCTCACAAAAGAACATTGGCTCATGGTTCATTTCAGAAACCCCCTCATGCACTCTTATCACCAGCAGAGTTCCTCTCCGAACAACCCTTCCTTGATTGTGATGTACCGGAACTGGGTGGTGACATCATAAAGAACACTACGTGTGATACCGAGAGATTAGTGACATGATCACAACGTTGCATCACTGTAGAGTAACACATCCTTTGTGATGTTGATATGGTTGATAAACAGTGTTCCAAACATCATAGCAGGAAGATAACAATTCCATAAACATTCTTGCCTCGCAGGTTTAAGTTTAACAAATCCATCCATTGATACTTTTGTTTGAGGGGCGAGTATTGGTTCTTCCAGGTTTCAGTGGGAAAGCGGGTTGATCCACAGACACCATTCCAACATTCATAGGTATCTTCCAAGAAAAGAGAAATGTAATGGGGCCCTCTTGTCTTTACAGACCCCAAACAGTGGCTCCTTTCATTGACAACAGTAGCAGGGATTTTCAGCCCGTTATGAATTAGAGCACGACTGAATAATAGAGGCGAATAATAATCAGACAATGGCAACGGAGTCTGGATCTGGGCACGTCGCCCACACATTCCAACAATTAGGACCATCACATCCATAACCACATTATAAAAGTTTGTCTAGCCAAAGTCTAGTTCAACAGACAACTGAGTTTTTTCAGCCACTCTCATTTATTTTTGAATATTTAGAGTGAATAAGTGACAGACATCTCAAATGGGAAAGCAGAGACATGTAATGAATCATCTAGTTCCAATGGGTCTCAATGACAGCGCCTTGATAGATACTGTCTCCATCAGCTTGGCTGCAACAGATGTAGGCTAGTCCACAGCTCCACACCACCATTAGTACGAGCGGTAACAGATATAGAATTATTTCTGTGAAGGCTTGGTTGAAGCTTTGTCAGATATTTCCCCAGGCAAATTGAACAATTACTGTATATGAAAGGTCTTTATGGCTCCGCTTTGAGTGATGATACATCTATCATCATGATATAAATGAAAATCATGCTATTCTTCAAGGGAACTATTAAAATAGAATGATAGACAGAAAAACACAGACAGACAGACATCTTAAATGGATAGTTCACCCCAAAAATGAAAATTCTGTCATCATTTACTCACACTCATGTATGCGTTTCTTTATTCTGTTGAACATAAACGAAGATATTTTGAAGAATGTTGTAACTAGACAGTTGACGGCACACATTGAGTTTCATAATATGTATTTCCTACTATGGAAGTCAATGAATGCAGCCAACTATCTGGTTACCAACATTCTTCAAAATATCGTCTTTTGTGTTCAACCAAATAAAGAAACTCATACAGGTTTGGAACAACATGAGGGTGAGTAGCTAAATGACAGAATTTTCCTTTTTGGGTGAACTATCCCTTTAATCCCATTTCCCGCATGAGATTATTAAAGTATCAATGTTAACAGTGGTTTAAGTATGTGCTGTAAGTGAGGAGAAGAAACTAAAAAGTTTAACTTTGTCCAACTGACAAATAAAAGAGCCCATCCCAATGAATCAGCTCTCGTGTTTGCTCTTGTCAAATGAGTAAATATGTCCTTGTGTTGTTAGAATACTATTTTCGGACAGCTGGAAATGACCTGATGTGAAGATTACAAACACACAAAACTTCAGAGAGCAGCTAGAATGCACAAGAGCAGAAAGCTCCCATCTGAAAGCCACATGCTGCAGCCAGACTACAGAAAGACTGAAACGGGATTTGTGCTTGATCATTTGAAGGTTTTATATCATTTTGGAGATCTAAAGTCACGAAAATCATAAACATTATACATTATTGTGACAGTTCAAGCGCCAAAACGGTTGTGTTGCAACTCATTTTACAGGAGCCGACTAAAAGGTAAGCAGAAAAACTCTGATGAAACAAAACGCAATTCTCAAAAGCAGAGGGAAACGTTATTTTCAATTGCCGTAAGTAAATGAGTACTATGCAAAGACCACACTACTTCATATGCTATAATATGATTTGACATGGGCTAACCAAAGTTAGCCATCCCTATTTTTACCATCTAAAAATATACAACATCGTGTAACTATGCAACGAAACTATTCTCGTAAAATAGTTTTCCAGTACGTTATGCATTTCAAACAACTCACCTTGCTTTTCACTTCCACGGCGTTCATGTTCAAGCTACGCAAAGATTGCGATTTATTACTAAAGCTCCGATTCATTTCGCTCGCTTGAAACTTTTCAGCCCGTCCAGGATGATGGGCTCGATTTATAAGCCTGCCCCGTTATTGAACGTCCAATATCCACGTTCCAGATGCGGAAAAGTTAGTCCTCGGAGGATGTGTGACAGTTTTTCGTAACTTGAGGTCGCACGGTGCCTCGGTCACTTCACAAAACTTCTGCAGAAAATTATGTGAAAGGCAAATCAGCGCCTCTCACTAGGGGGAGTGGGTTAAGTTTTCACATATGACATCATCGCTCCCTCTCACAACGAATCCGACGAGTTTAGCAGTCCTACTATGGTGAAGGCGTTTCTTATGAATATTAAATGAGTAACGTGACGCTAGTCCGGTATGGGTAACGATTGGCTTAAAAGCGAACATTAGTAAGTGGGCGGGAATTAGCTGGCAAAGTGAATGTTCGGTTAAACACAACAATTTTAAGGATTAATTGTTTTTCCTTTTTGAAATTAGAAATCCTAAAATGGAAATTGCTCTTCATTGTTCAAAATAACAACCTCATTCCAAGAAATAAATAGGTCGGGACCCGTTTTTTCCTCAGAAAACAGGGCGGTTCTTTCCAGCGAAGGCTGGCTTATGAATATTAATAGCTTCACGTGACTGGACGCTCCAGGAAGGTTACCAAGCAACTTTAGCGTGACGTTATTATTATTAATGAGCCTTTCCTTAGCCATAGTAGGATTTGTTACATCTCCTCACTAACACATCACATATGAATGTGGATTACAAAATTACACACAAAAGGGACTATATAAGCGCACTCTTTTTAGAAGGCGATGTTAATATTACGGACATTCATACCGATTGTCTGGATGTGCATCATTGCAGGGAAGCGGCTCTCAGGCGCCGATTCCCGACAGCTGCTCTGGCCAAGAATGTTTTTTTAGTAACTTCTCCGGCAAACATTCCCATTGCCAATAAAAAACAACATATATTTATGCTTGTCCGTGATCTCAAAGCTACCTAAAACATGTGACTGTAGGAGTTTACTAGCTTACTCAAACTTTGATAGCCTATACCAGATAAACTAGGGCCTATATATTTTGATTTGCATGTTTAATTAAATTAAATGGTCTCTTATGGTAAATTCAAATGTTCACCCAAAAATGAAATTTATGTCATCATTTACTCACCCTCAAGTTGTTCCAAACGGTACGAGAATGTCTTCTGTTGAACACAAAAGAAGATAATATTTTGATGTCTGTAGAACCATTGACTTCCATTGTATTTTTTTATTTTTATTTTTTATGATGGAAGTCAATGGGGTCCATCAACTGTTTGGTTGGCCTACACATATACTTAAAAATATCTTCGACAACAAGTTATCTAATAAGTGAGGGTTACCGTGTAGCCTACGTGCGATCGATCAGACGTCAACTGTGGTGGCCTTACTGGTTGTTCTCACATTGACCGCTAGATGTCACTACTACACAATAAAAAGAATGTGCCTTGCGTTAAACCATGCAGTTGAAGTGCACTGAATTAAATTGGTTCAGACATACCCCCTAAGTACACACATTAGCGCTATGCTATTTATACTCCATCCTTATCTTTGTTGTGTTTTTGCGGGAGATGTCCTCCTTCACCCAGCTAAATCACTGATGCAATGCGTCTGTTTTAGCTCAGAGGTGGTTCTGGTATAGCCTAGTTAGTTGTCCCTGTCCCCTCAGGCAAGTTATGTTTACATTAAGGCAACTACACAAGGATCATACAGTTTCAGTTATGTTCTGTTAGTTTATTATGTCAGTGCATCTCTTATGAATAAGCCTGTTTCATGTGGTCCATATATTTAGAACAGTTCAATTTACGTTTACATCATTTAAAAGAAATGTATAGGCCTATATGTTCTTTGTTTTTGTTTTTTATAAGCGTTGTGAATTTTTAGCGCATATAGTGTAACTAAAGTTTATGGCATGGTGTTAACAGTGATTAATAAATACAAATCTGAAATGGAAGCCGGGGTATAGGGGCTGCTAGAAACCTTTTGAAGGGATAGTTCGCCCCCAAAAATTGCGATCATTTACTCACCCTCATGTTTTTCCCAACCTGTATGAGTCTCTTTCTTCTGTTGAACACAAAAGAAGATATTTTAAAGAATGTTGGTAACCAGACAGTTGATGGCACCCATTGACAAATAGTAGGCTATTTGTTTTCATGGAAGCCAATGGGTGCCGTCTGGTTACCAACATACTCAACATGAAAAAAAGAAACTCATACAGGTTTGGAACAACTTGGGGGTAAGTGATGATAACATTTTCATTTTTGGGTGACCTTTCCATGCTATAGAGTGATGCAAGAATGAAATATTGTTGTAGACCAAACCCTGGAAATGGGTTAGCATTTTAGTACTTCTGATTCTGGTTCTAAAGTCTTTGAGTTTTTTAAATGGGGTTTTGTTTAAATGCCTGAAATAATTAAGGTCTGTTGTTAACTTGCAAAATATATTTTCATGTTTAATTCTACAACATAAAATACATTAGAAATACCTCATTGTGATTATTTTAAAGCTTTTACCTGTCTTGAAAAAGGTGGTTGTTAACAAGTGTCTAAATGGGACTACAGAGGTGGTCAGGGATATTAAACATCGTCAGCCAAACAGGAAAACTCATTTAATCACTGGTCTGCTTTTACAGCCTCATTACAAACTTTCAGGGAAATGTTGTTTTAAATAAAGACTGAAAGAATTGTTGTAAGCTTAATGGTGGATATGTTGAAGTCATGCGACCATGGTTTGTTTTGTTTAGCAGACGATTAGCTTACTTCTGGCAATTGTATTTAGTCTGTCATTTAAACCAAAAAAAATCCAGTTATGACATTTTGATTACATATTGGGTCAAAATAATTGTTCACAATTAGATCTATAACGTGGATTTATAAAATAGACTTTAAAGCTGCAGACAATAACTGCCGAATATGGACACTTACTTAGTTATCATTTATGGCTCTTGTTGTGAACGGGCCTTAACAAAGTAGCCTACACAAAATGCACCACAGTACTATAGTCCTTGACTTGAGCACCATATTCCAAGTCATTTGCAATGACATGATGGTTAGCAATTGTTGACAGAATTTGCATTTTTGCATGAACGATTTATTTAATAGCAGATAGTTTTAAATGTAACTCGATCTCCCCCTTGAGTACTGGGGTTGTTAATGCCACAGTAACACAAGAACTCATATTAAAGGGTTAGTTCACCCAAAAAATTGAATTATCCCATAATTTACTCAGCCTCAAGCCATCCTAGGTGTATATGACTTTCTTCTTTCAGCCAGACACAATCAGAGTCATCCCAGTTAACACATAACGTTCCCCTAACGTTAGTTTTTGGTTCCCGTTTGGTTATTTTTTTGGGAACCAAATACTAACGTTAGGGGAACGTTCTTTTTAGGTTTTATTTTTATGTAACCATAAAACAACGTTCCCAGAACGATGCAGGGTGGTTACTTTTAAACAACCCAAAAATAACTTATAAAGAACGTTCCCTAATGGTTATATTTAAGTTATTTTTTTGTAACCATAAAACAACATTCCCAGAACGTTGCTGGAAGGTTCTTTTTTTAATAACCTCAAAACAACTTATAGAGAACGTTCCCTAATGGTTATTTTTAAGTTATTGTTTTGCAACCATAAAACAACGTTCCCAGAACGTTACTGGAAGGTTTTTTTTTTTAATAACCTCAAAACAACTTATAGAGAACGTTCCCTAATGGTTATTTTTAAGTTATTGTTTTGCAACCATAAAACAACGTTCCCAGAACGTTACTGGAAGGTTTTTTTTTGAATAACCTCAAAACAACTTATAAAGAACGTTCCCTAATGGTTATTTTTAAGTTATTGTTTTGCAACCATAAAACAACGTTCCCAGAACGTTACTGGAAGGTTTTTTTTAATAACCTCAAAACAACTTATAAAGAACGTTGCTTAATGATTATTTTTTAAGTTATTGTTTTGTTCCCAGAACGTTGCTGGAAGGTTCTATTGAGAAGGAAAAAATAAGTTGTAACCTTCCATAATGTGATCATGCATATGTTTGATTCTTATTTATTATAGCAATTGGTTGATGGAAATTTTATTAAAATTAAGATACAATTTATACAAAACGAAATTCACTTTAAAGAAAGGATTTCCACAAAACAAAACTTAATGAAGTGGTCAAAATCATGTCTGACCCATGTCTCCCGATATATTGCTCATCTTACTCATGCTGTTCAATTTTCATAATCAGCAGATGGGGAAAAAAATAACATTATATTAGTTTAACAAATATGAAACTAAATGTGCTTATTTAATGGCTACATTTAGTTTCATATTTGTTAAACTATTATAGAACGGGCCATAGATCTCCAAAATTAGTTTTAAATTCATAATTTAATATTTATGAGATTTTTTTTAAGTAATGTTCTAATTCTAGATATTTATATTTGTAAATGCTGCAATGCATGCTTTTGACGTGCTTTAATCAATGGCCGTGCGCGTGAACTTTCGAGTCGCTTTCAAACATTGGAGCGGCGCAGAGTTGCCATGGAAACGGCGCAGGACTACTGCTGACAAGCAGTAAAACTCCCTCTCTCGCTGTTGTTTTCACTGCTTTCAGGTGAGATTTGTCTCTAAAATCACACAAATAATACACACAACTGTTCTTGACACTTCTCTTACTTGTAATTGACACACTTTTGTTGAATATTTACTTTATACACATGGTTTAGTGTCTTCGGAAAAAGTCCGTTAGCATCTCAACCGTTTTCAGAAGAGGTAACTTTATCGTTAAGCTAACGTTAGCTCGGTTGAGCTTTTGTTTATGAAAGTTTGGGCTTTTAATCATCTCTTATGTGTAGATGAGAGTTTTTGGAAAGGTTTAACTTGGAAGTGAGCTAATTTATTTTACATAAATGTAAACAAAGGTATGTAGCCTACTGTTAATCGGTGACATCACTTACATGGACTTGAACATTGGCTGAAACTAGCTGCTCAGTGGTAAACAAATATTGATAAAAAAAAAATTCTGTGATTTCAGCAGCAACAAAATAACCCCTCTAAAACAGAGTGGAAGCTCCACGGTTTCAACATTTCTGAAGAAAGCTGCTGCCAGAGATGTAGGAAACACAGGTGAACCGAGGAAGCTCATTAAATAACTCCCATTTTGTCACAATATTTTATTTTATATAATTGTATAACAAACAAAAAAAACAGCAAGACCACGAGACATTAACGAATGA